CAACGCCAATCACCATCAACGGGAGGGATATGAAAGAGGTTACTTCATTCACTTATCCAGCTAGGGAGCATTGTCTCAACTACACGAGGAACGGACGAGGATGTCAAATCGAGAATCGGGAAGGCGAGAAACAAATTCATCAACCTGAAACAACCAATCTGGAAATCTTCGTCACTCACCAACACTCAACAACAAAATTCCGATTTTCAATACAAACGTCAAGTCAGTCACTTCTTCTATGCGGATGGATCAGAAACTTGGCGATGGGTCACAAAGAATATTTCCAACAGCCTGTTGCAGACCTTCATCAACAGCTGTCTTCGTTCCATACTGAAGACCAGATGGCCGGAAAGAACAAGAACCAAAAAGGAACAATGGGAACAAACAAACGAAACAAGAACCAATCGCCGAACAAATATGCAGGTGAAAGTGGAGACGGATTGGACACTCGCTGAGAGGAGGCCGCTGGGTAGGTGACATCGCATGTCAGGCCATCGCTCGAGTGGAACCAGAAAGGGAAGCGACGATTAGTGGGACGTCCAAGGGTGACATGGAGGAGATCGTGTGAGGAAGAGTTGAAACAGTATGGATTAACATGGATGCAAGTGAAAAGTACAGCAGAGGACAGAAGCAAGTGGAGACGTGCAGCTGAAGCCCTATGTTCCACTAGGAACCCAAGGGAACAATAATATATATTATATAATAATTTTCTTGATTCAAATGACCCAGTTGCTACCGACATGACATGAAACAATTAGAACAACGGACAAACACACACACGCACAGACAGACACACGCATAATTGATTATAAGACTGTGGTCATTGTACAGTTTGGTCATATTGTGTGAAATATCAAATTGAGGCCTTCCTTTCTCATGATGACTATCGATCGGTCTGATTTGTAGATCAGTAGCAACAGTCAGCGAGATGAAATAAAATTTGTAGAGGTTTATTTCACCGAAGAACATCTGTTTAATCAGTGTACTATTCATGTGTGTACAGTGACTCGTGAATGACAACACCTACACCACCTGAACACAAAGATACCTGCTGTCGGTGCGTTCCTGCAAACTGCTTAGATTTGCGTCTACGCCATCTTTTTCTTCTTATTATTCTGCGTGAAATACTACTGAGCTGGTTGGATTCTGAAGGTGGCGAATACCGCAACCATCTTACTGAACTCCAACAGTTCGCTAAGCATCAATGGTTTCTGTGAGGGACTGATTGTGTTGTAGATATGTTACACTATGTCAACCTCTTCACCTAAGTGAAATGTGACTACCAACCATCTCGTGGTCTTCTAGTAATCACAGTTGTCTAGGAAGTAATAAGTAATAGGTTCAAGTAATCGGCTGAAGTATGAACTGGATGAAATATGAAGTCGACGAACTGCAGACACATCATACACTCAAACGAATTAAACTCAACTGTGATGAACTGAAGGAGAATTTGTAATAAAACACCTTGTATGTTCATGAAAAATTCCCATTCGAACATTAATAGACAGAAGACAAGTAGTTCAGCGAAGAGTCTCTTTTCGGTGGCGAATTCATTCTCATAGCTGTACAATCGCAAATATATATGGTTGTTTTGTATGTGTGTGTACATTAAATTTGTCAAACGAAAATGCTATTAGTAAAGTCAGATGAATTCGATGTCGATATAAGAGCGTAGTAACAAAAGTGATGAGTTGTCACAAACGACTGTTAAAGAAGAGTTACGTAATAAAACGAAATTACAATTATTAAGTTCAGGTGAATTAAGTGTTGATAAAAGAGGGTAGTAGTCCGACGCATCTGCAGCTCTGATACCATGGAAGAAGAACTAAACTTCCTCAAAGAAGCCTTCATACAAAACGGTTACCCATCAAGATTCGTAGACAAAAACATCAAACAAAAAATCCAAAAGCAAGAAACAGCATCTGTGCCAAAAAAGATACTTTATACGAACCTCGACTTCAAAGGAGACCTACTCAGTGACGTCCTTAGAAGGAGAATCTCCACCTCTTTAAGAAGAACTTTCTTTGCGGCAACATTGAGAGTAGTCTTCTCTAGTCGCCTGCTGATCTGCAGAAGCCCAAAAGACAAGATCCCGCACCTGACCACTTCTATGTGTATATGTCAGTTCACCTGTTGCTGTGGAGCCAGCCAGGTACATCAGTCGTTCAACGCGTATCCTGTCAAAAAGGGTCAAAGAACACTATCCAGCGTGGCTACAGAAAGGAAGTAATGGCTGCATAAGGAGTGCAATAATAGAACACCTTGTCAACACTGGTCATTCCATCTCAACAAACGCCTTCTGCTTCAAAGTAATCCACAAAGTGAAGAACAACCTTCCAAAGACAGTACGATTCCGTCTTCTTTGCATCACAGAGGCCCTAGCCATTAAGCTAGAGGAACCAGAACTGTGCATACAAAAGAAAATTATTCAACCACTTCTACTCCCATGGTAACAACTGTGTTGATTTGACTTCACTTTCCTTTGTTTGCTTCTTTTTCTACTTAAAACCCTTGCGTAATTCCGTACGTTATTTTGTTTCCATGTACACCCTGAGTACAACTCTTTCATTAAACTATTCATGTTATTACGTAACTCTTCTTTAACAGTCGTTTGTGACAACTCATCACTTTTGTTACTACGCCCTTATATCAACATCCAATTCATTTAACCTTACTAATTGTATTTTCGTTTGGCAAATCTTATGTACACACACACACATACAAAACAGTCATATATATTTGCGATTGTACAGCTATGAGAATGAATTCGCTGTCGAAAAGAAACTCTTCGCTGAACTACCTTGTATGTTGTCCCCTGTGTGTGTGTGTGTGCGAATGAATCGACCTAGCGAAATTATCATACACTATTGAATTGTACAACAGATAACTGAAACGAGACGATTAAATGCATCCCTGGAATGCTGAGATTAGTTGGCGACAGCGCATCTGTGTTGATTAGCACGGCACATAGCTACATCGAAATCTTCGGAAACAAGAAAACTAACCTCAGCCTCAGTGCATTGAGAGTGTTCATGAAATACTTCAGTGATATTGGCTGCACTACGCTAGTTGCTGTTCAATGGAAGTATCCAAAACAGAAATTCACTCGCCAGCGCGAATACCTACCTCAGCATGTCACCGTCACGGACTCGAATCTCAGTAGAAACAATCCTTCTTTCATACAAGCCTAGACAAGATATCCCGAATAACTAACTAACTCACTAGTAACTCCACCGATTGCACCACTGGCCGTACACATATAATGGTTACAATGCCTATGCAAAAACACAAAAGACGACCGAGTCAAAAATTATTTATTTATTTAAGCGCAGAAAAACTTGGTACAATATGGCACCAAGAAAGATGCGCCACACAATAATAATAAAACAACATAGATTAAAAGTAAAAATATATATGTAGAAAACGGATAAAGAACTTCATCAGGAAGGAAAACAGTCATGTTTAACAAGTTCAAACAGTATTCGTCAACTATCATCGGGAAGGGAAGAAAGAAGGAAACTGCAGCACGTTCGCCATTGAGGATTGCGATTCTTGGCCATATCCGATAACGTTCCAAGCCATCGATTCGAGCTATCTCGCGGAACCCAACCAGGGAGTCGTGACACACCAACCGATGCTAATCTAGCACAAATATCCTTCATCCCACGACGCCACGTCAAGGACTGACCACCCCTCCACCTTTTCCATCCCGTCCCAGGGCTGGCCAGAGAACAGAGACCTGTACGGAAGCCTCTGGGATGACATTCGTAGCACATGTCCAAGTCACCGAAGCCAGTGTTTCCAGGTGACGACACTCAATGAATGGTGATCTCCACTGTGTTCAAACACACGCCGCCGAACCTCAGAATTACTCACGCGATGATGCCATCGAACGCAAGCAATCCTGCGGAGACAGCGGTGATCGAACACGCAGAGTCGCCTCACATCCTCAGCTCGGAGAGGCCAGGTTTCACAGGCGTAGAGCAGCGTAGCCCGCGCCGAAGCATTGTATACTTGACCTTTGACAGCCAGGCTAACATCGCGACGGCGCCAGAGGTGGCTCAAGTTGATGTATGCCACCCTAGCCTTCATTATACGGTTGGAAATCTCATCCGTCACCTCTCCGCCAGCACTCACACAACTACCCAGATAAACAAACTAATCGACAACTTCAAGCGGTTCACCCGCAAGAGTGAGTGCAGGTACAGGCTCCTGCCAATCTTGTAACAGTACTTTGCACTTAGACGGTGCAAAGCACATACCATACTTACAGACACTGATCGCCAACTGATTAAGTGCGATTTGGGCAGCCTGCATGCTATCTATCGCACAGTAAGGCGATATCGTCTGCATACTCGAGGTCGAAAAGTCTATCTCCAGGTAGCAGATCTACACCACCTTCACACACATCCTTCATAGAGAGCTGACTCCAGAATGTCATCGATGGCAAAGTTAAAGAGAAATTGAGAGATCGGACAACTTTGTCTAACCCCACTGTTGGTTGGGAACAGTGATGATGATAGTTGGTTGTATGCCCTCAATCTACCTGAGGTGTTTCTGTATAGGGCTTTCAAGATGTTAACAAACTTCTCAGGTACACTCCTCTCTAACAGAGACAGTTCCAGAGCACAGTTCTGTCCAACGAATCGAAGGCAGCCCTAATATCAAGTCAAAAAGGCTCTTCGAGGATGCATCTCTCCTCCCCGAACACATTTAGCAACGCCATATATATAGAAAACGAGAAAACATGTCGTCTATTCAATCAAAAATTGTATCTAAGTACTTTGTACAGATAACCAAGAAAAAAAATAGTTGGCACTAGTGGTACAACAACACATTAAAAAAAAAGAAATTCTAAAGCCTTAAATAAACATACACTAAATAATTCTGCCTATGTTTTGAAAAGTAATGGAGCGAATATTTGTTTTTGTTTTAAGGAGAGATTCAAAACAAGAACATAAAAAGGGAACTGTTGAATATCCGAAGAAGAAAAAAAAGTATCACGACTCTGAAGTTAAAAATTTGTTATATTTTTCTTCGGATAGGAGATTCTTCAGCTGAGATACATCGGACAGTTGGAGTTTGAAAAGCCAACCTGAAAATTAAAAAAAAATGAAATAACCACCACTGTTAATCAGCATAATTCTGTCGGGTATAGCTCAACCACTCCTTCTCCTCCGCCTCCTTTTACAGTTTGTTAACTCTAGAGCATTTTACCTATTCTCCTTTTGTTAGGAAGAGGCAAAACATGCAATTATCATCTCTCAGTCAAGTTATTATCGCATTATTAACAAGTCGTTCACATGCAATTGTTCCTGCTTCTGATTGGACGCTTGCACAATTCAAACTCTCAACCGGATTGGTTGATTTCCAGTCTACCTTATTTTCTGTATAAATACAGTCACTTTTGTCATAATAAAAGAAAAATCTGGTTTTACCGTTGATTCTCGCATGTTCTGCTTTACCAGTTAAGTGGGCACTGGTTAGCAGTTAAGCAGTGACCTCGTGACAAAAGATCTAGCATCATAACACCTTTATTGTTCACCCTCTACCAAGATGAATAGCCTTTCTATCAGTAGTCAGCAAATGGTCTTAAAATTTAAGTGCTTACAAATGTCAGACTGTTAATTTCAGTTTCTGATGTGAGTAAAAGAAAGTTAAATGACGAAGCTGTGTTCATTCCTATGACCGTTGCATAATTGATGATAGCAATTGATGATATAGCAATCAAGTCAGACATTAGGTAACTTAGATTAAATCTTTCTTCTAACCACCGATCCTGGTCTTCCCATTTATTAGCGATATCTCAAAGAATATTTTTTGTTTGACTTTTTTTCCATTAAGAAGTTAAGGCACTCGGTCGGTCGGTCGGTTTTCGACATAGAACTTTCCACATATGTGCGGCAGTTCAAGTCGCCACACTCCCTACACTCCATGTAGCACACAAAGCAAAAGAAGAAAGTAGGAGAAATTCATAATAATATAGACAGTAAACAGAGGTGTGAGACAAAGGAATAGTAATAACGAACAACAATATAGTTTCATTGTAAATCATAAGTCACAAGGAGTGGATGCATCTGCGCTAGCCATTGAGAACGATTTTGAGCCATGTCACTAATTGTTACCATCCCGAGGACCCCAAACAGGAAGTCTACATCTTCCTACGTGGCTTAGACTAACTGTTGTAGATTTCATTGACTGGTGAAGCCATGTTTTCGTTTGACCGCCGCTAGCTCTTTTCCAGCCTGACCCATCCTATGTCAGCTAACATTGCCCATTGTCGAGGAAGGCGATGACTAGGCATACGTAGCACATGTCCTAACCATCTCAGTCGATGTAATTTCACAGTTTCGTCGACTGATTTCCCCACCTTACCTAGCACTCGACTGATGCCTAACCACAATATTGCTCAACTTATCATACCACTTCACACGGGAGATAGAAAGTAGACACCTATAATCGAAGACAGCTAATCTTTTCATGTCTTCTGCTCTCAATGGCCAGGTCTCACAGCCATAAAGGAGGACGGAGCGGACTGTTGAGCAGTACACACGCCCTTTGGTCGATAGTCGGATATCACGTCTACGCCAGAGACGGCGTAAACTGGCATATGCGAAAGTAGCCCTCTGTATTCGTGCTGAGATTTCGTCAGAGATCAACCCGTTGGTACTGGCTGATGGCACTTCCCAAGTAAGTGAAGCGGTCAACGTACTCTACCACCTCACTTCCTATTTCTAATCTAAGGGTCGACGGTTAACATTATAGGGGTAATTTTTTTTCGGTGATAAAGTAATACACCACAGGACCTTATGTATGTAAACAACATATATACTAAAGGTAAGGTAAGGTAAGGTGTGCTTATAACTTACCATCATCCATCGGGGATTTATTGATAATCTTAGTGTTCTTTTCAACAGTTGTATTCACTTCGACAACAGTACCTGATGCAGGAGAGTAGACTTCACCAACAGCTTTAACTGATTCAACGACTGCACACTGATCTAAATTTATCTCTCTTCAATATATTAAAAGTCTTACCATTGGCATTGATTTTATCTCCAACTACAGGCAGTTCAACGTATACTATATCACCTAATTTCTGTTCAGCATATTTGGTAATGCCAACAACGCCAAGATTACCATCAACCTGGATCCATTCATGTTTCTTGGTGTAGTAAACATCTAGTTTTATTTATTTTATTATTTATTTCTTTAAAAAGGTTTTACTAACTGGACATTAGTCTATAATTCGTACTGATGATTGTTCTCCTTGTCATAATACTGACTGGTCGACAAACAAGTGAATACATTTCACTTATGAAGTCAAGTTCTGTTTGCTTATTGCCTATAAAATGTACAGGAGTAATAGGAATTAGTTTACTTATAAACTTGGAGAAGCGAAGAAATTTCACAGTTCCATAATGGATAAGATTTTATTTTAATAAATCACACAGTGTTGTACAGTTATATTAACTGATGACGTTTCGAGCACAAACTATTGCCACTCATAATCATATCAAGTCACTCACACAACTTTTTTCCCTCATTTATATACATGAGTGGAATTCACGATTAGACATTTGAACAAAAATCAGTAATATAGGATAATGTACATTCAGAAATAATAATATCAGTGTTATTGATCAATTACAATCAGAAGGGAAATAAGACGAATGTTCTTATAGTTATAATAAGTAATTTGTCAGAATGTCGTGATTTGCTTGAATTGAAATAGAATTTTGAGATTATTTATTATCCTCTTCTGATTTGACTGGTGGTAATAATACGACTGTTATCAATCCATTACAATTACATGGGAAATACGACGAGTGTTTTTATAGTCATAATATGTAGATAACACATTCACAGTGTTAAAAACAGAACATATCTCTCTCTAGCTTCTTGACACATACAAACTCACAAGTAGAAGGAATAAAATTCACATTTGAATCAGAAAATGAACAAGGAGAATTAACCATGTTAGATTGTAAGATAAAACGAATAGAAGAAGGCAAAATACATACTAGCGTTTATAAAAAACCAACGCATTCTAATAGATATTTAGACTTTAATTCGTCTCATCCGTTAACTGTTAAGGCAGGCTTATTTAAGTTAAGTGTCTAACAAACAGAGCAGTAGCACTAAGTAGTACAAGAAAAGACCTAAATGATGAAATAAAACAGATAGAAGAAGAGGCTTTGGTGTTAAATAACTAACTATCCTATAAAATTCATTAAGAAGATCAGTAAAGGCCAAAAAACAAAATAAAAATAATTGTGTAACTAGTAATGATAACACAAATAAGAGAGAATATAAGTCTTCTACTGTTATACCATATAAAGAGGGGACATCTGAGACCCTACGTAGGATTCTAAATAAAGCAGGAATTGGGGTGGCATTTAAACCTACAAACTCACTCAGGTCGGACAAGCTCTGTAGGTTAAAGGACCCGGTTGACCCAATTAGACAAAATAATATCATTTACAAAATACCCTGCAATGACTGTGAAGTCAACTACATAGGTCAAACTAGTAGGTCAGGGGTAGTCAGATTATCAGAACATAAGAATTTAGCTGAGGGAAAAATGATTGACCCTGAAAAGATAAGTAATCTAGAAAAAAACTCAGCTATTGCACTTCACGTATTAACAAACAACCACACCATAAGGTGGGATAGGGTTAAAATTTTAAAAAATATAGGTAGGTGGAGAGAGAGGTTGATTACGGAACCCTTATTCATCGAGTCTACACCCAACACAGGCAACAGAAGTGACTCAATGCAAATACCAGAAATATGGAAGATATTATTACCGCCGGTCAAATCAGAAGAGGATAATAAATAATCTCAAAATTCTATTTCCATTCAAGCACATCATAACATTGTAACAATTAACTTATTATGACTATAAAAACACTCGTCTTATTTCCCATCTAATTGTAATTGATCAACAACACTCATATCATTATCTCTGAATGTACATTATCTCATATTGAATTAGCCTAGGATTTTAGATACTATATTAGTCAAGCTAATCCCTCTGTGATTATCACAAGAAGACTTGTCTCCCTTCTTGTATATCGGGATGATCAGTGACTTACACCAACCCGATGGGACTTCTTCTGATTCCCAGACGCTGCCTAGAACCTCCGTTAACGCAGATAGTAAACTGTCTCCACCGTACTTAAATACCTCTGGAGTCAATAAATCAGGTCCCGCTGCTTTGCCTTGCTTCAGATTAGTGACAGCTTTAGTAACCTCAGTTAGGGACGGACGACCTGTGTCTATCTCCCATTCAGGGAGGTGTTGGATGTCCGGCAGGTTAAGTGTGGCTGTGGGCCAATTAAACTGCTCCTCATAGTGTTCTTTCCAGCGCTCCAGACGTCTATCCTGGGAGCTAATTATGGTGCCATTTTTCTCGGAGATTGTTTCGCTAATCACTTGCCTTTTACCACCTGTTTCCCTGGTGAGTTTGAAGAGTTGTCTAGTGTTGCCTATCGCCGATGCTTTTTCCATCTCTTTCGCCTTTGTCAACCACCACTGTTCACGGTCCTTGCGGAGACTTTTCGTAAGTTTCCTTTTGTGCAGCCTTCGCTCCTCATTGAATTCGGAGCTCGCCGGAATAAGTCTTCTAGCATCTATCAGTTCGGATGAGGCAGTCGAAATCCAGTGGTTTTTACTCACCTTTGGATTTACCTTATTCACAGCTTTTACAGCTGTATCTATGGCTGACTGAATGTTCTTCCAGGCTTTTTCAGGGTGAGCGCAGCTGTCGAACTCAGATATGTGTTTAGCTAGTTCTTCCTCAAATAGGGACTTAGTTTCCTGATCGAGCTGGGGACGTGATGGGTTTACCGCCAGCTGTTTCCTACGTCCGTTCAGTCGTAAGCACACACGAGCGCGGACCAGTGCGTGATCGGTATCTACACACGTGTTCCAGAAGGAGCGACAATCTCCTACCGACCCACGCCAACGATAGCTTATTGCTATGTGGTCTATTTGTGTCCAGCGTTGATTTGATGATGGGGGTCGCCAGGTCAAACAGTGTCTCTCCATGTGTTTGAAGTTGGTGCTTACAAGAAACAAATGATTATCTGAACAGAACTGTAGGAGACGGTCACCGTTGTCGGTTCGCTGGCACGGAATTCCGTATGTGCCACCGACATTCTCAGATTGACACAATTTCCCCACTTGAGCATTAAAGTCACCAGCTAAAACGACTATATCTGAGCGTCTAGCCTTTCGCAGCAAACTAGACAGCTTTTGGTAGAACTCATCCTTCGTTTCATCCGAACTGCAGTCAGTGGGGGCGTAGGCGGAGATTACGAAAAGGCATCAGCGAGTAGTGCAGTCCTTTCTCCTTTTCACTGATCCGTCCGGACGGACAGCACACATTCGGCTATCTACCGGGATCCAGTCAAGTTATGTCTTTTCTGCTCTAGTACTTAAAGCTATCCCAACACCAGCTAATCCTCGTGAGCTAGCCGTCGCATCTCCTGACACCCTCAAGGTGAATTTTACAGATTCATCCTGTTGGCCAGGTGGGGTTAGGTGAATAACCACACTTGGGTCTTGTATGCGTGTTTCTGAAACACAACATACATCAATGGCTCGGGATGCCAGAGTCTTGGCTAGTGATGCTTCTTGTCCTATTTGGCAAAGTGTCCTAACATTAAATGCCCCTATATGAAATTGGTGACGTGGCTTTAGGAGACTATCGATGGTGGTTTTTTGGCTTCCGTCGTTTTCAGTGCACACAGAGTGAAGAGGAAGTGAAGAGCCATCAAGTAGAGGAGTTGCATTAGTAGAAGGGAGGCAAGATAATAGAGATGAAGATGGATACAAAGATGAGTGAGGATTAGAGAGGTTTCGCGTGCACTTCGGATTGTGAGGGCGATTGTTACTTCCCGGCTGCCCACACCGTGGAAGTTGGTTGCGTGACTGCAGAGCCCAGGGGACAACTGCTTGAGGCCGGTCACACACGGCCTGTTTTTGTTTGTTCTTTTTTATTTGGTGTGTCTCAGTACCGTATTTATCACTTCTGCCCTGTGACACGGCAGCAGAGAGCGCGGTCGTTGTTAATCCGGGCCCCGACCGATCCGGCATGATATTTTGTGATTTATTTGAAATCATAGGATTGGATTGGGTAACTGCTTTTAGTCTAACTGCTATCTAAACAACCTTTCTGGCATGGTAGGACCTGCAGGAACATAAGTTCCAGCCAGTATAGCTTGTTGGGTCATTGCAGTGTTCAAGCCCGACCACCATGTCAAGGTAGCAGCTTTCGGTCGGGAGTAACTTGATATGATTATGAGTGGCAATAATTTGTGCTCGAAACGTCATCAGTTAATATAACTGTACAACCCTGTGTGATTTATTAAAATAAAATCTTATCCATTATGGAGTTATACTCTACCACAGTGCCCAAGTTTTATACTTATATCAATAAATTTCACAGTTCACTATAGTGGTGTATGCAATGAGAATATAACAAATATAGCGGAAAAAAGACCGTAAAATGCAGACAAGGTTCATCTATTTATCAACCGCATTCAACAACTGGCTGTATGGCAGTGTCACGTATCAGGTGATCAGCAACAGAAAACTCAGTGAAGCCTGCCTATTATCACCAACGTTGATATTCTTAATTGTGGTGGACTGGATTATGCGCGTCAGACTGCGCGCTGAGAGTCAGTAATTTAAAAGACAAGAATACGCTGCAACGATGGATGAGAAGACTCTAGAACATCTTGATTTCGCATGTGGATGACTTATGCTGTTGAATGTCACACAAACTCGAAGATTTAGAGACAGGTGAAAACTATCAATAAACTGGATGAAGAGGCTGGCTGACTGCCCGCCTACCTGCCAGCGAAGTCAGGACTCCATCCAGGGGAACATAGAGAAGGTGGAGACGGAGATGATGATGATGATGAAGACAATCAAAGCGAAAGCCTCAGTACCAGAGCGGGTGCTCAACTTTTCAACAATTCTAACTTACAGAGATGTGCCCTATTCAAGGGAAGCTGCTGCTGCTGTCTGGATATGACAAGATGTTTTTGGTTGGTAGGTGTCCACTGTGGTCCATGTAAACTTCTAAGCACTAGCAGTTTCTTTTTAAGGGATAACATTGTCGAATAAGAATTTATATGTGAGCTGTTTTATATTACCCAATAGCCACCGCACAAACATAGTACTCAAGGGATACACCACAGTCAAGGTACTAGTTAAGCAAATAACCGGTCACAATTTAACCCCTAGGATGTGATAAATTCGAGGATATATGCTGTCGTGTAAATAATCCCATGGTTTTTCCAACTTCATGTTCCACTCTGAGAACAGATGCCAGTTACCGAAGGCAAACACAGTCATGTCACCATAAGGGTAAATCTCCTTTCGAGAGATTGCAGGCTGCTTTTCTGTTAGACAGTATGCATCTCATATACTACTTAGGAGTAGTCCAAAAGTTGATCGACTTGTGGAATGTGATGATCACAGGCAGGGAAGATGGTATGAATACTGTTTACTTACGATTACTTAGCTCACATAGGTTGACCCCCTGTGAATTCCAACGTAAGTGTCGCAACTTAAACAAGGTCGACAGTTGGAAAGCAACTGAGTGTAGACTATTTCTTTTATATTTAACAGTCGTGTACTTCAGAAACATCTCACCTCCTTGCTTTTAAGACAGTTTTTTCCGATATATCCCTAGCTTGTTACATTTTAAGTCATCCAACTCATTCTTCGTGTTACCTAGATGATACAAAAATGTCTTGATCAAATTTGTGGGGAACTGCTTTAGGTCTATATTTGGGGATGATAAAATGACATACAACGTTCATGGCTTGCTCCACTTATATGAGGAGGTAAGAAACCACGGACCACTAGACAGTTCCCCTTGCTTCCCGTTTGAGTCGAACAGACGTTTTCTTCACATGTATAGTCATAAGTCCCAATAACCCTGCAGTCCAAATAAGTAAACGTCTAGGAGAAAGAAGGCTTAGTACAAAATGACTCATCAAAAATTGAGCTTATTACAAGTGCATCTGTAGACATGACTAAGCAAACTACATTTTTTTCCGGCCTTTGAATAAGGTCAATCCCCCCCCCCCAAGACAATTGCGTTATGGTGGACAACATATCAGTTGTTTGTGAAATCTTACAAGAAAATCAGCTTAGATTTTGTGCTTATAAGAATCTCAGGGGTGTTTTTAAACAGCCATTGGATTCAAGGGATAATGGAATCTTTCAGGTAAACAACTTTGAGGGCGAAACATGTATTCCATGTATTTCAGGGAAATTAAAGAAAAGTAGATAAACTTAAGTCTTGCGCGTCATTCCGTTATTATTATTCCCATATTACATGCCTCCAAGTTATCGTAACTTTATTGCTTCTAGTGAGTTTATATGCAGCCATAGTGAAGCGGTACCAAGAATACAATCAAATGGTGTTTCATTTTGTTTCCAGTTTCCCTAATCCTAATATCGAAACACATACATTTGTATAAATACATGTCATTTAAGACTTCCCTTCTTCATATCCTTATTTTTGGATCTAATGGTGGTACATTCTTCTTTGCAGATGACTAAACAGTTCGCTGTAATCAAGGTCCCGGCCTTGGATAAGATTATGATAGTTTCTCAAGTGTGGCTGATTGATATATCTGTGATCATCCCACGGTCGTTTTCCTTCACAGAAGTCATGGGACACGCAGAGGCTGTATCAGGTTCCATGACTTATGAGTTCCTTTTGTTGGGACGCTACAGTTACTTAACACTTTACAGTAATGTTCACTTTCAGATAATTTTGAAGAAGCCGTTACAGTTCAAACGGCATCTAAACTACTGCACTCATCATCTAGGCTGTCGTCATCTGAAGACACGAAGCCTACAAGCCGATGCAGGGTGAACCGGTAAACTGTAATTCTTGCCTAGTCTTTCCAGTGTTCCCAAGGTGTCAGTTCACGTGGCACCTTTAAATTAGCCATGTCGGTTGTTGGCTGACAGAGACTTTCAGTTCGATGCACCAAGTTTCTGACAGGCACAAAAGATCAACACAAATGGAAGGTATATTAAAGTTCACTAACGGAATTTTATTTCAGCTTGTTTCCATCCATCTCCACGTCGAATACCTCCATTCCATCACCAGCTAACATGTGAGTTAAATTTGATTTCAACTGTTGCTTGTAATTATGCAAGGGCTGAAGAGACAGATGGCTGCATATCTGGTTGCTCGGTAGGATTCAAGGCTAAGCGGTCACAACAAGAGTCCTTTGAGTCACGCCTCGCTGAGATCGAGGCTAAGCTCTAGCGACTCAAAGTGGCCGAGAGCATTGACAAAGATGTCTCTAAAATGAATTCAGTTGATATTGATGATGGATATCGACGCCCGCTGACCTAGGGACTTTGGTTGACTCGAGTATGCATAGTTCAGTCAGTGGCATCATGAATGTTTTGCTGCAGCCAACGTACAGTACTCAATTTTCATGGGCGGCTACAAAGGAGAAGTCATTTAAGGACACAAAGATGTGTAACCTTACAATTCGTGAGTTCCCAAGAAACAAAGTTTTTTACCGGCAAGGCAGTTTTGATTGACAGATAGACCACAGTGGATGCCGTCATTGCTTCCATTCAACAGTGGTTCCACAACAGTCGTGACAGACTGAAAGCAAGAATAAGGAGACGATGATAGTACCCATTGGTATGTTTCCGTTTTTCATTTCATTTATTTTCAGATAGAACACCGCTGATGAGAGAAAGGAGAACACACACAGTATGCAGATAGTACAAGGCTGAACACTTCGTGTGATTCAGGTGATTTTTAACTTGTATGTTGTATCCATACATTGTGAATACATTTTACATTAATAGTAAATATGTTTTTTAAAATACAACTACCTTCTAATATCATAAGTCTTTGAGTTGACAGAAGTATGTTGTTTGTCGCGACAAGCTATGGACATAGTTGGTATGTCATTCACGTGGCTAGAGACTTAGGGTCCACTGCAATAACCACCAGCGGGTGTGTGGTTTAAAATTAAGGTCAGTTGCAGAAACATGGCGACAGACTGCAGAGAACTGTCTCACGTCCTGCAATGTGCCCTAAGTGGTGAAGTTAATGTATCATAGCCAAAGTGAAAGTTCTTCAAAGGTTTATCTGCAGTAACCATTCAGATTTAGGGAAAGCTACGAAAGGTCATTCCAAATCAAATCATGTCTGCCTTTTTGGGTTTAAAATAATTGTAGATATAGTATTCCACTCATTCCCTAGGTACGTAAATCTAGAGTGTTAGGTAGGGTTACGGTTTTCATATGAATTCGGACTGATTGTTCAGGGGTACTGTGACTTTGCCAATTATTTAATAAATTCACACTATTTGTAACCAATATTATGATACTCAGACGAATCGAATCCCTATATTTGTAATACTGCCCAACGGTGAGTGGTCTGATGTTTACTGATCCATCAATCTTACTAAAACTTATAGCTTACCGAGAAGTTAATGGGTTTCCGCAAAGCCGCGTTATTTCGAGTTCCCGCTGGTGTTTTGTATTGCTTGTCATGGTCATTTAGATACTAAGCTATACTTAAAGACTTGTCGTCGAGGAACTTCTCTCAAAACGTCATATTAAGTAATTCAATAAAAAATATTAAGATAGCTTTTCTCTCAACTAAGTCACAGTGAAGCAACCACTAAATGACCTTGAACAGTCCGAAACTTATAGACGTGAAACATCCCCAAAAATTACTAGTCTACAGCATTCGTTGCCTAACCTTGGGTGCTGACTTTCACTGTTTAGGGTAACTGGTTAAGCTGAAGCTGGTTGGTTAAGTGTCCACGCCATTCGATACGCTGTCGTGTTACTGTCGGTTGTCCGTGATAGTACCCGAGCTCGCTAATCAGTGATCACCGCCGCACATTTTTGACTCCGAAATATAACTAGCATTTTAGGGGATCAAACTGTTCCTTAGATTTGACTTCCAAACTGTTGCTTAGTTAAGTGGGACAAATACATTAGGAGTTGGAGGATATGAACACTTGACCAACGGATTAGATGGACCAGGCTGAGGAGTTTATACATAATGCGTCCATAGATCAGGTCTAAAAGGAAAGCTGGTGACAGAGAAATCCTGAGCATCGTTTCTAGTTGAAACCAACCAGGACGAGCTAGAAGTCGTTCAAGAAGAGTAACTCACTGGTTTCCCGTAAATTTACCTCCTTAACACTGTCTCGTAGATTACGCTAGCTAAATTACAACAGGCTCTGCAGTACACCTCTATGCCAAATCCTATAAAAACCAAAGCAGGAGCTATATAGATGATTAGAGCGTGTGATCATAGCCCTCTCAAACCGTGCTCGTACGACGTGGATGGTTTTCTATATTCTTGGCAGACTTATAGAGGATATTCGCATGTTAAACTGGTTTGGAGGGATTACAATTTCATTAAATTTGGTGTTTACTGGCTTCAGTTATAGCGGCCTATGTCAACACCGAGTTTCTATGCATGCTACTCTTATCTAAAGTAAAACATTTGGCTAGTCCTGTTTGCGAGTTAGGCCCCAGTGCGTTGCAAAACTGATTGAGGCGAACACTGATCTGTGTAACTGTACTTACCTACGCATCACTATATATGCAGACGGTTCGAATGGCACACTGGGAGAGAGGGTTGTCTAGTGGTTGCACCACAAGATGTTACATCATGCTGGTCTCGTTCCGCAAGAGGTAGGGATAGGTGTGTTCGGTTCTCACGAAAACCAATTTATAAATATCTAATCGGTGGGTGTGTCATTATGTGAATAAACTGGTCGACCCCACCAGTAGTCATATATTTTTCTCAGAGACTAATCCATGCATGTCTACGTATATAACCTAAAACTCTGAAGTCGCTAATCCCTCATTAAATCAGCTATGGTCCCTTAAATCATATGTACTACATGGATAACCGCAGTGACTCTAGAACTAATACACGCAATTATCCAATTGAACTGGTGCATTTATTAGAGTAGAACTAATGAGAGGCAGCTTCGACTGCCTCAGCTGAATTCGGTGATGACTGTGGATAACTTTATAGGTGACGGATCTTTTGAAATTTTGAAGACAAAGTGAATGGAAATAAAACGGTAATGGTTTCACAGCAAGTGAATGGCTTAATTGACTGATGGATATACGCACGACTTAGCATTACACAAAATATTACCCAGTTATACTTTACAGGGTATAAAGATTCGTTTGTCATTTTTAAATTAAATTCTCGGCCACCTTTTAAGCACATATAACTTAGCCGACAAAAGACTACCCAACATCCTAGTAGTGAAGACTTGATTTCTGCCTTGTTCATCAACAAGAAGTTAAAAATTTACTATGAAAATGGAACGAATGAAGATTAGTGATACACAGCTAAGAGATAACCTAGGCAACTTACAAGTTCTATCGTTGTGAGAGCTGTCTGCCAGCCAAAATTGGTAGACAGCAATTAACGTCAATTTGTTACGCACCAAATCTTGGTCATGAGAAAAAACAAGAACGAAGACTAACCTTGAGGAACTCAACAGTCAATCACGGCAAACTTAGCGTGGGCAGATACGATTCGCAGATATATCACCGGACTGTCTAAGAAACGGCAGCAAAGATATAACAGAATAACCTTCAGCAGGAAAACAACCAATCAGAAGGCGTTACTTCTCTGTTAACAATAACGAATAATAATCTAAATAAAAATCTGTAAATATCTGTTGATTTTCTCAATAAACGATCTGTTACCTGGCCCTTGTCTTCTGTCATTATACTGTGTCGTGCAGAAAAGTGTTAGTTAAATATCAGCATTGCTCCTTTCACGACCTACCGGATAGCCATCTTCAGGGCATGTAGATCATCGTTCCCTGAGGTGGCATCAAATGCCCTGGAAACCGGGGGGACAGGGGGCTCACTGCAAATAAGCCGCACTAAAATATCGGCTACACGGGTATGGCATATCACCCGCCCTCTTCTGAAGTGATCCATCCATTCGCTGGGTAAATATGCCTGGTTTCAACTCTTGGTTCCCACCGGTTAGTGTCCCAAGTCACTTGCCAGTAACATGGCCCTTTGAAAATCTTATGATATCAATCTCCAGCTTACTATATTTTATAGCCAGATTTATGTATTCTGAACGATAACCGGTCGACACCTGCACAGTTGGTATGTTGCTGCATATACGGGAATAAACATGTAATTATTTCCATTAAACACGTGGCGTTGGCTGAAATGGATACTTTGTATAAGTTGCCGCAACCAGTCAGTCATGACACTGCTTCGTGTGTTCAGGAAACAATGTGACGGCGACAAGGCTTTTTAGGATGAAATACTAATCAATTTCCCATTTTCGTCCGTGGTAGAAAATGATTCGAGATTGAATTTCCCTATGTAGCAGGAAAACCTTATCGAGGAAAGGGAGACCGGTAGGCTGTGATGGGTGTGCGACATGTTATCCGATACTTTGATGTCAGCCTGACTTCTGTATCCTAGGACACTTGTGACCGGAAAACCAGAGTGTATGAGGAAGGTGTTTCCGGGTGTTGACATTTAAGCATTTATCAAACCTGAGAAACCATCACAGGCTTCGGGTGCCATATAAATGGGCATATACACAAATAGGTCATCCAGCCTGTCGTGGTCAGACAGCACTTATCTCTCATGGTATTTTGTTACTCTTTTTTATCTCAACTCCCTAGGCCTTTAAAAAAGCTGAAGTTTACTCTTTTCGCTCACATTCCTCGATCGCATAAAGTCTGTTTGCTTTGATGAAGAAAAAAAGACATAGCAACAATACCCATGTTTGAGAATAACTATATTTACATCGAAAACGTCATAGTTTTCCATGGTAAGACCAGCATGGTTAGCATCTTACATTGCAAATTTGTACTATCATTTCAAGTACTCTATAGCCCGTTCTTGTATTTATCTTATAAATGTACTTCCAATGATGTATTATCCATTATTATGTTCTACACCATTTTGCAGCTGCCCAGGACGTTCATCTACTCCTCAAATAGCGCTCAATCACGTGGCGCATAGCACTCACTCAAACATGTGAAGTTTGTCGACTGGCCATAACCATCATCAGGAAATGGAACGGAGTTTGGGTTGTCGCTCGACTTTGATGGTGACCTCAGTGAAGGGTTTACAATTTAAAATTTATAAGAATCTGTTCTGACTGCTTGTACTATAATTCAACAGTCCGAAATTTTGAAAAGCCGCTAATCTATGTTAGTTCACAATTGTAATTTGTAACATAATTGATCGTGTCTGTAAAAATGGCATGCATTTTATGTAAGCTTTACCGTTTATTCGAAATATGTGCTGGAGATAAAACACAACCAGATTGCGAATAATCTTAGAGAAAGTCAAAATTATATAAATTGATTCCTCAGTGCCTCCCCTAAAACCTGCTGTCCAGAAATCAACCTCCTCCCTTCAAATGCTAATGAACCTTCAACTACGCAGCTCACTGGAAATTTTAAATAGCCGTGAGACAAAGTATCAGCCATTAAATGAGTGCTAATTGTGCCGAAACAATGACAATAAAGGGGCATCATCTGCTTGAAGTCGGTTGTTTTCTCTCAATTCTCAGTTGATTTACAAGCGGTACAATTACAGGTATCTTAGACAAAGAATAAGATAGACGTATTGTTTGTCAGGGTATGCCCGCCTCACACAGAGATTTTAATCGGTGCTCTTCATGATCCTGTGTTCTGTGCCTGAAGCCCAAGATGATATTTAGCATTCTTTGTGTTTCTTCAGCGTGGTCTGGCCTGACTACTTTACAAATCCGTTCGTGTTATAATAAAGTCAAAGGGCCTAATCACTATCAGTTAAGCGTATGCAGACTCCATTAACGGGGTAAAACTATCACATTAGGTTCTTTCTGTCTGCTTCTTGACACCATGAAATTTGAAGTAAGTTCTTCGCTCATCCGAGAGCTGATGGTTTCTTATCATATGCTTACAAATCAATGATTATGAAATCGCAAATGTGAAACCCTTGGGGGGATATGGCTGGGAAACCGTGAACTTTTACGTTTTCAGGAAACAAGTACCCCTACCCACCAACTAACCTTCAGTTTGGTCACGTACTTAATGCTAAATATTGCTTAGTAAATGTACCCCAAATAATATATTACCCTTAAATGTATTTATAACATTTCTCGGTTTCGCATGACTCCGTTCCTTTCCCGAAGTGGCTTTTTCACGTGTGGGGGTAGCACTCACCGAAATGTAGGCTGCGCATTCGCCGAGCATCACTAGCAGCAAGGAACGAAGCGAAGTTTGAGATGCAGATGAACTTTGAAGGCGACGATCTTTAGGATTCATAATTTCACATTTGTGCCGACCTCTTCTGATTGTTTGTCCATTTAAACTTTTGGAAAAGTGCTAATTTATTGATGTTTCACGACTGCAATTTATGCCACATATTATCGTGCCTGTATAAATGGTATGAATTTCACATAAACGTACCCGTTTATAAGAAATATAAATCGTGATTAAACCTCTTGCAGGCAATTGTCAGCAGCGCGGTCATCGTATTCCACCCTGTTGGAGGCCTGCAATCCGTATATAGTTTTCTTATCTCCAGTCGGCTAATAAAACCCCACCCAGTTTGCCATTTCATTAGTTTCTTAGCTGGTTTTGTGCCAGTGAGGTCTGGAAGTGGAGCTGGCATCATATCCCGCAAAACCAATCAAACTGTTATAGGGACTTCAACTCAAGTCAAAACACCAAAAATGCAGAAAAAATCTGAAAAAAACTTATACTTCGCTGAAATCGTAGATGCGAAACGACATGGCGGGCTGGTGAAAACTCTCAGTAACCAGTCAGTCAGCCAGTGTGTTTTCTCCCACTGAAAGCAAGAATATTAACGGGCATGTGGAATGCACATACAATGTACGGAGCTGGAAAGCCTGACCAAACTGCCAAAGAAATGAGAGGATGAGGCAGAGAAGTATTGGGAATCTGTGAGATAAGATCGAATGGATCTGAACCCTCCCATTTATTCACTAATGATTCAGTAATCTACTCCAGTAACCTACGCAGACAATAACCGCAAGAACATTGAGGAATTGGCTATCAAGATGTCGCCAACCGTAGCCAAAACTCTTATTCAGTGGGAACTAATCTCCTGTAGGATCATGACATCAAGATTCAACTCAAAATAGAGGAAAGCTGCAATCGTCTAATGCTTCGCACAGTGCTAAACAGAACTCAAAACAACAGAAGAAAGACGATTTTTATAGACAACTACAAACAGCAATGGACAATATCCCGAATGGTGATATCAAAACCCTCATGGGCGATATGAACGCAAACCAAAATGGGAGCACACTATACAGGAAGAAAATTCATCATGGGTTGAGAGACTGTCTCTGGAAGAAATGAATATGAAACGAAAACTCCCCGCAGACTGTTGCGCCTTCAGTTATCTGGTGGTAGGAGGCAGTGTGCACAAGCACAAGGCTTTGGACAGAGCAACATGGATTCCCCCTAACAGACACACCACAAACTGGATAGACTTCATCTCAACGTTGTTCAACAGAGTGGAGTCGCAGGTAGCTTTCTGTACACAAAGTCGAGAAGAGGAGCAGATGTCGGCTCAGATCATTTTCTAGTTCAAAGAACGTTCAAGGTGAAGCTGAAATCCTTCAAAAGAACTGGAGACAGACCACAGCTCAAGTTTAACATTAAGAAAATGAAGGACAATACTGCAGGGGGACCAGATTCGCTACTGACCAGATCAGAGCAAACTTGGAGACTCTATGTGGCATCACTGAATAAACCTGTGTGGAAGGATACTGGAACTAACTCTCTGAAGTTGATGCTCAACGAAACGTGTTAAGAAGAAAGAAGAGACAAGACAAGCAATGGCTCTCAACGGATACCTACCTGGAAGTTAATAGAAGGGGGGAGAGGAGGGTGGTGAAACAGAAGACGACTCAATGCAAAGATGGACAATAGAAGGAGAAGCTGAGTTCAATGAACACCGCACTGAATGAAGAAGTGAAGAAAAGTGCTAGGAAAAACAAAAGACGATTGTATGACATACCGGCTGGCGGCAAGCGAAGCAGAACATGCAGGTGGTCGCAGGTAAAGGAGATGTGAGAACATTATATCAGATAACGAGGTCTCCATCCTGGAAGGGATCGACCCAGAAGATGAAAGCAATAGACGATTTTCAGGGAAACCTCATTACCAAGGTGAACAGATAAATAGAACGATGGGCTAATCACTTAAATAAAATGCCGAATTGACTATCAACAACAACCCACCCAGAAATGCCACCAACGGCACGCACAAAACCACTTCCAACTAAGGCAGAAATCCTAAGTGTGATCAAGACAATGAAGTCTAGGAAGACGGCATGATCGGAAGGAACTCCTGCCGAAGCGCTGAAAACGCAACCAGAGACTGCGGCAGATGTGCTCGCGCCATTATCGCAAAAGATTCGGAAGGAAGGTGCCTAACGACTGGAAGAAAGGCTGACTACTTTGTCAAGCTGCCAAAGAAGGGCGGCTTACAACTCGCTCTGCAAGAACTGACCGGCGTGGAATAATGCTTCTGTACACGCTAAGAAAAACACTAAATGGCGTCAGCCTGGATATAATAAAAGATGCACTAGATACAGAACTCCTTCGCATTGAACAAGCTGGCTGGATTATGGAAAGGCAAACCATATGCTGGTCAAATTGCATCGTCATTACAGAATAAAGCATAGAATGGCAGTCAAACATCTACCTCAACTTCATCTACTTCCAAAAGGCCTTCGACAAACGGAGTTTGGAAACTACCTCAACCCAGCGGCGTACCTCAATTCCTTATCAACCTAATTCAATATTTATATGACAATGACACGTGTTAGGTGATCCACAAGGGAAAACTCAGTGAGGCGTTCGAAGTGTATACAGGAGTGAGATAAGGTGGCTGTTTACTATCGCCGATGATATTCTTAATCGTGGTGGACTGTATCATGTGTCAGAACGTAGAGGGGGAAAGAAAGGAACACGCTGGGGCGACCAGAAGACTGTGGAAGAACTGGAGTTTGTGGATGATTTTCCAACTGTTTTGAACTATCACGCTGCAGATGTTCTGTTTCCGCATGAATCATTTTCCCATATTCTTTTTGAAATCTGCCGCGTTTTTGACAATATCCATATATCCGTGTCTAACACTGATTGCGCTGTGCCACCTGGAACTATATATACTTTTGGCATACTTCAACTTTATCATCCTTTTCTTCCACTTTCTGCTTGTTAGCTTCTTCCTCTACCTTGGTCTTATCCACTTCGGCTGCAGCCTTTTCAGACTTTTTATTTGTCGAGTTACCTGTTGATGTCAAAAAGAACACGATCCCTTCGATCTCTAGCTGAACGCAGCAAGTGATTGTAAATGTTTGCCTGACTTTTGCACACGTGCATTAGCTTCTGCTCGGACTTCGGGTGGGAGGCCAAATCACGATTCTCCGCTATCAGCTCATCCTCCGTGTCTTTGAACGATTTTACCTTGACCCGCGTTTTCTCTAGCTCATCCTTTATCTGGAAGAATTGGAATTCTGGCTTCTCTTTAATAGCCTCAGCCTGCTCCATGCGTCTCAACATTTGTTCTGAATTCCCACTCTCAAGAACAATTCTTGCAGGTGTCTCTGGAACTGTCATGTCGAAAAAAGCTCGGTTACCAGGTGCAAGCATTCCTGTTACTCCTACATCATCCTTTTCGGCTAAATCCATGGTAACAACATCCTTGTCACCACCCTCGACAATGCCGCTGTCTGTCAAACTGTGGTATGACACGTGGTTATGGCGTGTAGTTACTCTGGCCACAAGTTTTTGCGTCTGAGCACGAGAACATCTTAACCCGAGAAGGTGGAGGATTTCGCACAATCGTGTTCACGGATATACCCTGCACGGCTCATATCAAAGTAGGTGAAAGCAAACAGGAGGGATGGGTCCACGGTGCGCCTTAGGCGACGCACCTTGACTTCCTCCTCTTCGCTGTGACCATTTTGACTGTCATTTCTGTGTCTTTTGACATCCGGCTCGTCAGAATCGATACCGTTTTCGAGATCTCCATCCTGTTCAGGTTTAGTTCCAAACGCCGGCGTTCTTTCTCAGAGAGGTCCTTTGAATCATCCTTTGATTTCATCACAGACGGCGTAGCGATCTTATTCGGAGTCTGTTTGACTTTAGAGTCCTCATCAACCTTCATTTCTTCCGGCGCATCTGCCTTCTCCTCATCCATAGCACTCTGCAAGCGGGCCACTACTTTAACCTTTAAATCCTTAGTACCAACTTTCTAGCCGCTAGGTCGTTGCGTAGGTCACTGACCTTCAGAGTATTTACATCGAGCCTAAAATAATCGGTTGGCTCCATATCTGATCGTGTGCTGGCTTCTTCAGACTCCTCCATACACGCATCCAAAGCACTCGTTTCTCCGTCCTTCTGTTCAGCCACTCCGTCCTGCTCAGCCTTCTCGTCAGTCAACAGCTTCTGAAACGCAGAATTGCAATACTCTTTAGTCTTAGTTCATTCTTCTCCTGAAGGAATTAAGTGGGCCGCATTCGGAATAAAAAATACTACAACCTCAGGACGCTCTGAAGTTATATCTCTTTCTTCCCAAGCTTCAGTGAAAGCTGGAGCTTCCGTATCAGGCATGCAATAGTACTTGATCTCTCGGTGAAAAATTTCAAATATGCCTTGATATAAGAATATGCCTATTATCATATTGCTGATGCTTATTAAGTGGATTCCCTCATGTGCATGAAATGACAATGTTTCATTATAAGATGCATTTTATTGTAATATGAGGGAATTGACTTCAAGCTTTATTTATTTTCCCAAGTATCTATAATCCATCTAACACACACTTGGGTTCTTTTGTTAATGCGAAGTCAATATCTCTATATTTCTTGATGTGGTCCATTGAATCACTAGTTATCAGATTTTTCCCACAAACTAAAGACAGAATGACAGTAACCATGTAATTTAAATATGTAATTTGAATAATACTTATCTATGCCCATACAACTGGTGTGTCATATACGTAGGAATAATTATGTTCCTTATTATATTATCATTACTAACTGTGCTTACTAACCGTATATATAATTTATCGAATTGATGGCGTCTGTAAACTGACATCCCTCATGTGCAAAAATGAGAATATATTATTATTAATACCCTCTCTAACCACATGGGACTAGGGATTTTATCCCCAGGCAGTACTGTTAGAGGAAACTCTGACTTTTTATTTTGCAATGTATAGCTGTCCATAGTTGTTTTTAATACTTCGATAATACAACAAACTTTTTTCATATCCTCAAGACTTTTTCTCGGAAATTGTGAAAATCCCCGTCTCTGTAAGGGTTAAGTGTGTCAAACGCGTGAGTACCGTTAAGAGGCTTAGATCTAATGCTCGTCAACCATCTGAAGGCCTCAGTTCCGCCGACGATTCCACACCGAAGGTCATGGTATCTAATATCATGGAGGAACTGACAGATAATGCGGCTTGTACCAAAAATGATTTAATGACACTTCGGAAATCAGTAGCAAACCTGCAGAGCAAGTTTCACAGCATTATGTCCCTCACGCAACTGTGTGACCCACCACGAAACATCTGTCTAGAATCACTTATCAAATCCGAGCGCATAATTGACTATTTGGCTGAAGAAGCTGTTAAGAGGATTACGTCTTCACATGAAATCTTGGTTTATAGCATTCCAAACAAAGAGCCTATAGTTAAACTTAAAACTTCATGTCTAAAGGCTTGTAATATGTCATTGACAGAATGTCAGGTTTTGCGTCTTCGTAAGAAATCTGCAAACCACTCATGTGCGGTGCTTTTCAAGTTAGTGTCTATTGAAGAATCCAAGAATTTTCTGAAATCGAATAATATAATAGGCTCTTCAACACCCTACACTAACATTAGCGTTGCACCTGGTTTCACGCCATGCCAAAGACGATGCCGCTCAGGAACACTGAATGCTGATAACTCTAATAAGACAACTGTAGGTGATGTTCCATGAGTTATTCCGTCTAGTGAATTACCTGATGACCGCATGCATCAGACATTTTTGCAGGCACAGACAAATATTAGCCGATTATTATATAACGATACTGATGTTGGCACTGAAATGGTGACCATAGATTAGTCAACAGAGCATTATGTTGAAATACATCGTTTTCACACTGACACAAACGTCAAGAGCCCGAAGGTACGATAGTCTCCTGAATTCCGTCGTCACAGGAGGGTGGATACAACACATAGATTCACCCACTAAATCCGCAGTTATCCTACACTTCGTTTCCAGGAGAAACGCAACATCATCTACCGTACACGTAAAATATGAATTTCTAGGTTGCGACCATATAATAGTGATGTTTTCTTTTAACGTACTTCCTGAAAAAATTCTCAGATGTGAAGCTTATCAGACACCTACAAGGTGATATGTGAACAGTTGGGCAAACAGTTTGCCAGAATATGCACCTTGGAGAACGATAAGGTCACGGATTTTCACGTAAAACAAACGCACTTCTAGGCGGTATACTTTTCACCACACAAGAGATCAATAACACTTTCTCAAATCTTAAGTTTATTGACATCTCTCGGCCAGTCAGCATATCTTCCACTTTCCTGAAAAACGTTAGTGATGACGTGAATCTAGTCCTACTCAGGTTATACTCGATTTCACTAAGCGATGGGACATGCCCTTCCTGCTGAAGGAAGTTTTATATTATACCTTTCCATAAGTACGAGCCTATAGCTGATGCCAATAACTACTGCCCCATCAAAATCACGTCAGTAGTTTCACATGTAATGGAAAGAACGGTAAGGACGCAAATCATTCAGCACTTGCCCTCAAATGACCTACTCCACCCATTCAAATACAGCTTCTCAAGTAGAATGTCAGCATTACTTGCCACTTAGATTATTTTGACCACATTACACGACGCATTGTTTGTTAAGAATCTGAATCAGAAAGCAGAAGAATGGTAGAAACTGGAGGAGGGAAAGGGCTTATTCTTGTAAGGAACGTAGCAGTACTAATAGTGTGACAGAACAAAAAGTCAGCTCAGCGTTTGACAGAAATAGTGAGTTGTAGGCTGGTATAATCTCGTGAGACCTTAGCGTGCAAAGGATCCTTGAGATGAAAACTGATTAGAAGTATATGGATGTATCTACAAACAATGAAAATGTATGACCATTTAGATTGCTGATGGACATAAATGTTTCCGCCAAAATTTAATTCCAAACTCATATATGAAGGGAGAAAAGAAATGTTGGCATCTGATGCAGGTAATTGTGCACAGAACCATTGGATGAGTGACAAAAGGAATATGAGTGTGACCAAGAGGGATGAACTCCAAACTCAGTGTTTCGTGGTACCACTCGGTGCATGTATATGAGGTGACGACTTGGTGTTGCTGATGCCCATTTGATAGTAGATACACACCATTGGTTATTCTTGGTAGTTCTAAGGCGAGTAACGTGTGTATGCCTGTAACGCACAGATAACAAATCGGTCTGATTAACTTCTGAGTTAGCCTCTGAAGTTGCTATATAATATGAAATAAAGATATATTAAGAGAAAGGGTTTTTTGATTTCGCCTATTTGACAGAGTAGTCGTATTGACTTTTCATGAGATCACTGCACTACGGGATGATGGAAAGGGAATGCTTTGGGTTTTTTAGGTAGCAACATCAGCGGATCAGTTGCTGAGGCATGATTTGAAACCACAGGGAGGATAACCCCCAACTCATGTATCTGATCCACTTTTGATATGGTTGTCAGTGTTGGGGTAGGTGCAAAAGGCTAGCCATTGCGCAGCAGACTTCTTCGACTGTTGGGCTGCGGACTCAAGTGATGGAGTGACTGAACCGCTTTACCACCGTCCAACTGACAAGGCGATGCGAAAATTGGTTATAGTGCAACGTGTACATAACCCGAGTTCTTCATGAAGTAGTTGAATCGGTCATACAATTTTACAGGAGTAGATTGCCAGGGACAGTGATGAGACTGTCAACAATACTGCCAGCATATTTTCCTTACTACTTTGTTCTGTGCAACTATTATAACTCGTGACTCTTCAGTACGACAGTATTTATAATGATGCACATCAGTGGCGCAGTCACTGGTGCTGAATTAACTGACGAGGCGCTTCTTGATCGAAGCATTTAGTATCCAGAACAACTTCACTATTGTAAGCACTAGTGGACTGAAAGGCTTTTGTAATCATTTGGCTAGTGAGATTCAGAGACAGTAAAGACTTCACGTATACCTACAATAAATGCTAGTCAGTAACATAATAAGCTTGGCACTATAAAAGTGTCACAAAACCACCATGAACAATGAGGTACTTGAAATGTTCTCACAGCACATACCTATGATTCAGATAGAGTCCAATAAGTAAGAAGTGACTTCACTAGGGCTAACTGAGTAACTGAAGCTGCTTGTGGATATGGGCAATATCTCACAGATTTGGTAACAACAAAAAGCGGTTACTTGGTACACAGTTAATGCTGCAAGTTTTTTCGTCGCTAACCAAATTGATGATGTTAAGTCGAGGCTACATTCAATCATGATCACATGAATGTGACATACTCTTCCGTGTTAAAATGCTGCAATAAATTAAGTATTCATGAGTATTATTCGCTACTATTTCGGAAACTACCTCATGTCAAGCAAAATTTAGGTGATAGGATTGGCCTCAAAGTACGTAATTTACAATAA